ATAGAGTATAGAAGTCCAACTAGTACCCTGAACCAAGTATGAAAACTACACGCCACTACTAATTCAAAAATACTAAAAAGAATAATAAACTAAATGCCCTATACTAAAGCGCACTAACACAGCTCAACCTCACTCACCGTCACTGTTAAATAATACCTAAGTTTTTGTTCTTCAAGGTCTAAAATTACCCAACATATGGGTTCAGATCAAAACTTAATTAAAAGTAATTTTAAGAAAAAATAGAATTTTAAACAAGTTTTCCCAATTTATTCGCTAACTTTGAAAATTAAAAACTCACTCCACGCTATTCAAAAAATTACAAAGCCCTCAAGATTTCAGCTAATATATCCTAAATTTCAATCCTAATTGGTTTTACTTGATTTACATATCAAAATAATTATTTACAATTAATTATATCCAAACAGGTTATTTTCTGCATCACTTTAAAGAAATTGACGGTTCTCTTAATATACACAAGCAATCAATGCAAGGCCAAAAATGTAAGAAACTAGACTTGTAACCGATTCTAATGACTCTAATTTAATAATTTTCAGATTTATACCCAAAGAGAATGACACTTCCGAAGTTATTGTTTTGTATTAGTTATCTAGACAGGTTTGAATGGATCAGTTTATAAGAATTTTGACTCCCAAAAACTATAAGAATATTCTGGTATACAATTGAATATGTAATCAATCTACTGTAAAAATTTCAATTAAAATTCATTCATTTGCTATGATTCCCCCTGTACAGAATTTTTTAACTAAGAATTACTCCCATTCTTTATACATGAATTAAGCTCCTCAGATTTTTTAATAGTATATATATATAATACATACACCTACAACCTCTCCATCAATGAATTAAATAATAATAGAATAAGGATAAAAAAGAAAAAACAAAAGCAACAGGAAGAAGAAAGTAAGAGAACACACCAAAATTTTTTTTTTTGGTGCTACCGCTTTTCTCTTTTCTCTCAACCCACTCTCACGTTGCTGCTGCTGCTACTATGGTATTGTTAGGAAAGCTAGGGTTGCTCTATATATCTAAACCTAAATGACTCTAAATTATTTTCATTTGTTTTATTTTATTTTATTTTCTCTCACCATTAATTTAAATAAAATACAACTCTTATTAGATCAAAAATATACTTACTAACTTGTCTCCTATTTTTTTTTTTTTTTGTTGATAAATCTTGCTTTTAAATTAAAGACTTTCACTATAAATTTATTTTAGGTTTAAAATTAATTAAAAGATCGTTTAATAATATTTAATTTGCACTTTAAGATTCATAAGTAAAATGTTTGAGATTTGGAAAATCATTATTATTTAGTTATTTACTTTATTTGTATATTCAGGTTCTCGCATTCTCCCCTCCCCCCTTCCCCCTCTAAAAAAAAAAATTTCGTCCTCGAAACAAACCTGAGTAAATCAGGAGAATAGATGTAGGTACTTCTCGCACATTTCGTCCTCGCATTCCCAAGTCGCCTCTTCAACTAGATAATTATTCCATAGTATCTTAACCAATTTAATGGCCTTTGTACATAACAATTTCTCTTTCGAATCCAAGATCTGAACAGGCATCTCCTTATACAAAAAATCCTCTCTAATCTGAAGCGGCTCATAATTTAACACATGTGATGGACTATGCACATATTTCCTCAGTATAGACATGTGAAACACATTTTGCACTCCTGCCAACCTAGGGGTAAAGCAACACGCTACACAACCTCACCAACCTTCTCTAATACCTCAAATGGTCCAATGTATCTAGGACTCAACTTCCCTTTCTTTCCAAATCTGATGAGTCCTTTCCATGGTGATACTTTTAAGAATACCATATCTCCCACATGGAATTCTAAATCTCTTCTACGATGATCAGCTAAGTAGTTAATAATCTCTCTCTAATGGTGACAATTTTCTATGTAACATCATCCACCAAGTCAAGTCCCAACAATTGCCTTTCACCAACCTCACACCAACACAAAAGAGATCTACACTTCTTTCCATATAAAGCCTCATAAGGAGCTACTCCCAAACTAGAATGATAACTATTATTATACGAACTCCATGAACGAAAAATAATCATCGCAATTACCTCTCCACTCCAAAGCACAAGCCCTCAACATATCCTCAAGGGTCTGAATAGTCCTCTCCAATTGCCCATCTATCTAAGGGTGGTAAGTTGAACTAAAATTTAACCCAATACCCATAGTTGACTGTAACGCACCCCAAAACTTAAACACAAAACGAGGGTCTTGATCTGACACTATTGACACAAGTGCACAATGCAATCTAACAATCTCCTTCACATACAGCTTTGCAAATCGAGCTAAAGAATAGTTCATCTGTACTGTAATAAAATGTGCTGACTTGGTTAATCTATCAACAATTACCCAAGCTGCATCGTGATTACTACTAGTACGAGGCAATCCACACATAAAGTCCATGGTAATATAATCCCCCTTCCATTCTAGTATAAGTAAGGTTTGTAGTTTCCCCACAGGTTTCCGATGTTCTACTTGTTGACACACCAAACACTGAGCTACAAATTTTGTAATATCTCTCTTCATACCATTCCACCTAAAATGTTCATGAAGATCCCAATACATCTTAGTGCTTCCAAGATGAATGTTGTAATTTGAACTATGTGCCTTCATCATAATCTCCTTCCTCAAATCATAACTACCAGGAAGACAAACCCTGGCTACGGAATCTAAGAAACCCATCATCACTAACCACAAAGTCTACTTGCTTACCCTCTACCATCTCTCCTTTAATACGTTCACACTGGAGGTCAATCTCCAGAGCTAAACGAATCCGTTCACTCAAGGTCAGCTGAACTGTCAACTGACTACAATAAGCCTTATCACGAGGCGTAACAACCTCAAGCCTAAAAGGTCTCATGTCTTTCACCAAACAACTCTCAATAGACAAAGCAACTACATCTCCAACTACAACTTTCCTATTCAAGGCATCTGCTACCACATTTGTCTTCCCCGGATGATACAAAATATTCACATCATAATCCTTTAACAACTCAAGACATCTTCTTTGCCTCAAATTTAGTTCCTTCTGTGTGAAAATATACTTCAAACGCTTATGATCAGTGTAAATCTCACATGACTCTCCATACAAATAATGTTACCAGATCTTAAGAGAAAAAATCATTGCTACTAACTCTAAGTCATGCATAAGATAGTTTCTCGCATGTACTTTCAACTGTCGTAACGCATAAGTAATCACCTTTCCATGCTGCATAAGTACACATCCTGAACCCTATCGTAAAGCATCACTATAAATCACAAAACCACCCCCATCTGTAGGTAAGGCAAGGATTGGAGCTGATGTCAACCCCTGTTTAAACTCTTGAAAGCTACACTTACAATCATCATTTCACCCAAACTTTACGCATTTCCTGGTGAGATTGGTAAATGGCAAAGTAATATAGGAGAATCTTTCCACAAACGTCTATAATATCCAGCAAGCCCTAGAAAGCTGCATACCTTTATCACAGAAGTAGGTTCAGGCCAACTAACAATTGTTGCCACCTTCGTGCTATCCATAGATACCTCATCTTTACTCACTATATGGCCCAAAAAGGATACAATGCTCAACCAAAATTCACACTTCTTAAATTTTGCATACAGTTTCTTCTCCTTAAGGATCTGAAGTACTACCCTCAAATGTTGTTCATGCTTCTTCTTGCTCCTTGAAAAAATTAAGATGTTATCAATAAACACCACCACAAATTTATCTAGCTGGTGTTTAAATGCTCTGTTCATCAAATCCATAAATGCGGCTAGTGTATTTGTGAGACCAAAAGGCATCACCAAGAACTCATAATGCCCATAAGGAGCTCTAAAAACTATCTTAGGAACATCCTCACCCCTCACCTTCAATTAGTGATAGCCTGATCTTAAGTCAATCTTAGAGAATTCCCGAGCTTCCTGCAATTGATCAAATAGGTCATCAATGCATGGAAGATGGTACCTATTCGTCACTATGACTTTGTTTAGTTCTCTATAGTCAATACACAACCTCATAGACCTATTATTCTTTTTCACACACAGCATAGGTGCTCTGCAAGATGAAACACTAGGTCTAATAAAACCTTTGTCTAACAAATCCTATAACTAAATTTCTAACTCTCTCAACTCCAACGGTGCCATTTTATAGGGCACTTTAGAAATAAGTGTTATGTCAGGGACCAAGTTAATAGAAAATTCTACCTTACAATCTAGAGGAAGTCTAGGTAGATCCTCTGGAAAACAAACATCAAAACATTCACTCACTATAGGCATCTCCTCTAACTTCTATTCTGGTTGTTTGATACTTAACACACACGCTAAGTAACCATGACACCCTTTCCTTAACATTCGGTTAGATTGAAGGGAAGAGATAAAACAGATAGAAGACCCTTTCCTATCCCCTTGAAAGAAAAACTCATATTGTCTTGGCATAGCAAAAACTACCATTTTTCTAAAAGAATCAACAAAGGCATAATGCTTCATTAACAAATCCATCCCCAAAATCATGTCAAAATCCTTCATCTCTAAGGAAATCAAATCCACTAGAAAAATCCTACCATCCAAGTTTATCTCACAAGATGTACAAACATCTCCCAATACTAACGTTTCTCTTAATGGAGTCAACACGATAATACAAACATCCAAATGCTCACAAGCAACAGACAATCTGTGTAGATATCCAAGTGCCAACTCTTAGCCTTCAAGCTGAAATCAAGAAAGATTTAACACAAGTTTAAACAAAACTGACTCAACCACACACTACCAAGGACTATAGGAACTCGGACCTCATCTAAATGATGAAATGTAAGATATGTAACTTGATAAACTACAACTCTGATACTACAATTGTCACACCCCAAATCCAGGCATGACCGGTCGTGGCCCATCGAGACTTATTAGCCCAAGGCACATGTAAGCCCAAACACGAACCCAATATCACAAATAATAAATGTAACGATAGTCCAAAAATAAATAAATCAAAGCCCAATCCAGTTACAAGTCACAAGTATAAACGGAAAAACCAACCCTAATCAATATCATCCAAACCAATGGGATATAAATAGCCCACAAAATAGAATAATCCTAAATGAACCTCAATAAAAATAAGAATAAAAAATATGCATAAACTTGACATAACAATCTGAAAATCAAACATAAAAAATAAATAAAAAATAAAAACCGAATGTCCTAATGGTCCATGTAATTGAGTCCCCGTTATGCCATGAATCCACTCTAAGTTTTTCTACCACCTGAAAATGATAAACAACTAAGTCAACTAATAGCTCAGTGAGTAAAACCATGGATAGTAAATAGAGTTTTGAAGACAGGGTTCAATTCCAAAATAATATATATATATATATATATATATATATATCACAAAAACTAGATTAGCATACAGTTTTGATAAAGGCAACATGTTTAAAAATGAAGGTTTTACAGTTCAACAGTTAAAATACTCATGTCTCTTAAGAACATAACAGATGACATTCTTCACTTAAAACAGATTACAACATGATCATCAATAATTTTCTGAGTACTAAGAATAACAAGTAGCTTGTAACAAAGTTCTCAAGGCAATAAGCTTGTTGGATCTAATATCAAACCAAGACTCATCTTCGAGGTGGAAACCCGGGCCTTTTCTCTAAGATGATTTGATTGAAGGTTACCTAGCCTAGCCTAGCCTAACCCAGGTCTTTTCCTTACAATCGTTGAGCACTAGAGTTATCAGAGTCCAACTTGGATCTGTTCTCTAGTGGCCAGAGTCACCACACGCAGTGGAATAAATTCCTTGGACTTTTAATATATAGATGGTCTCAATTATCAATACAATTCAGTTTCGCAAAATGTGGTAATTCACCATTATAAACATGAAAATATTTTAAAGAGTTTACTATATGCCAAGTTTATACATGTTTTCAAAATAATTTAATTGCATTGATAATATAATAATTTATCAAAACAGTTTAATCCTGAAACAACAATTTAAGTTTCCAACAGTTCAGGGTAGGGGAACATTTATAAAAATATGTAGCATGCAACTACTCACCTGAAAACGGAATAATGTAATCCTCGAATAGAGTATAAAAGTCCAACTATTGCCCTGAACCAAGTACGAAAATTACACGTCACTACTAATTCAAAAATACTAAAATGAATAGTAAACTAAGTACCCCACACTAAAGCGTGCTAACACAACTCGACCCCACTCACCATTACTCTTAAATAATACGTAAGTTCATGTTCTTCAAAGTCTAAAATCACCCAAGATATGGCCTCAAATCGAAACTTCATTAAAAATAACTTTAACACAAAACATAATTTTAAACAAACTTTCCCAATCAATTCGCTAACTTTGAAAATTAAAAACTTACTCCAAGCTATTCGAAAAATTCTAAAACCCTCAAGATATCAACTAATATATCATAAATTTCAAACCCAATTGGTTTTACTTGATTTGCTTATCAAAATAATTATTTACGATTAATTATATCTAAACATGTTGTTTTCTGCAACACTTTAAAGAAATTGAAAGTTCCCTTAATATACACAAGAAATCAATGCAAGACCAAAAATGTAAGAAACTAGACTCGTAACCGGTTCTAGTGACGCTGATTTAATAATTTTCAGATTTATATCCAAAGAGAACGACATTTCCGAAGTTACTATTGTGTGTTAGTTTTCTGTACAGATTTGAACGAATCAATTTATATGGATTTTGATTCCAAAAAATTATAAGAAAATTCTGGTTTGCAATTCAATATAAAATTTATTTACTATAAAAATTTCAATTCAAAATTCATCTATTTGATATGATTCCTCAATTTTTAAACTAAGAATTACTCACATTCTTTATACATGAATTTGGCTCCTCAGATTTTTTAATAGTATATTTATATATAAAATACATACACCTACAACCTCTCTATCGATGAGTTAAATAATAATAGAATAAAGATAAAAAAAATTTAAAAAAAAGCACTAAAGGAAGGAGAAAGTTAGAGAACACATCCAAAAAAATTTCTTTGCTGCTACCTCTTTTCTCTTTTCTCTCAACTGACTCTCACGTTGTTGCTGCTATGCTATTGTTAGGAAAACTAGGGTTGCTTTATATATCTAAACTTAAAAGACTCTAAATTATTATTCTTTGTTTTATTTTTATTTTTTTTTATTTTTGCTCACCTTTAATTTAAATAAAATACAACTATTATTAGATCAAAATATACTTATTAACTTGTCCCCTATTTTTTTTAAAAAAAAATAAATCTTACTTTTAAATTAAAGACTTTTACTATAAATTTATTTTAGATTTAAAATTAATTAAAAAATCATTCGTTCAGTAATATTTAATTTTCACCTTAAAATTTATAAGTAAAATATTTTAAGTTTGTAAAATAATTATTATTTAATTATTTATTTTATTTGTATATTCGGATTAACTTTAAGTCTGAATGTAATAGTGCATTCCAAAATCTGTACACACGGTTTTCTTATCTTAGGCCAAGTTTGGCATCTTTAATAAAAGTCAAAAAGCAAAAAGTCACTATCCTATTTAAGTCACGTCATCTTATTTAAGTCACATCACCTCTCTACCACATCACTTCAAACCCAACTCATATTTGATAAAAAATCAAAAAGTGCACTTATTTAGAACATCTCAAACAACCCCTTAGTACTTAAAACAATTGTTGAATAAAAATAAAAAAATAAAAAAACTTAAAGTGTCTCGATCTGTTAAACTAGGTCACAAAGTTATTAAAATAAATAAATAAGTAAATAGTAGAAAGAAAAAATGGAAGAAGATTTCAAGCTCCATCAAGACTTTCGATGGCAGTTGTAAAACTTCAACTTCATATATATATATATATATATATTGTTGAAATATTAGTATCAATATATTCAAAATTTTATTTGCTTGTGATTTAAGAGTTATATATTGAGAGATTAATTAAAAATGAAAGATAGATATTGAAAAGTATAATTTTTTTACATAAATTTTAATTAATTTATTTGAATACCCTAACTAATATTTCTGGAGTTGCCACCAGGGTTCCAACTAGATTTTTCCTCCTCTAGTGGGTATGTGAATTATTTTCCGAGAGACAAGAATTTCGGCAGCCATTTGATGCAACATCAACATGATATAAAATTTTGGAAGGAAGCTCTGAAATTAGAATCATACAGCTTGATGAATCCAATGAAGAGTGAAAACACCGGTCATATACAAAACAACAACAAACGACAAAGTTTGAAAAGAAGGATGTTAACTTAAAGAAGGAAACTAGAAGTAGTAGAAGAGACACATCTCAAGTACGATTGATGTTAGTTACAGATGTCAAGTACAATTGATTAGTTACAAGACTTAGGCCTCGTTTGGGAACAAACTATTTTAGTAATTTTTTGACTTTTTAAAAAAAGATGTGCAGAAAAGTAGAGAGGTGATGTGACTGGTTTTAGTTGACTTTTTGGCTAAAATAGCCACTCCCCAAACGAGGCCTTAGTAATGATTTAGTTAGTTAAGTAGTTAGTGATGGAGTCAGTTACATATGTTAGTTGCATGAGTGAAGAGTATAAGAAGAAGCAATCTATCTTAGTTTGTTTTCTAGTTTTAAATATTTTGGCTTGTATCATTTCCTAGAAATCACAAAAATTTCAAATACCTGCAATTACCTGCAAATTACAAGTATCCGGTAAGACCAGGACCTGTCAATTATGGTTGCAATCAAAACCTGTCTGAATTTACGGTTGGTCCCCAGCCTCCCTTGAACCACAGTTGGGTCTAAAACAAAGATGATTGAACAAAAACAACTTTAAACTGAATCTTGGAAACCAACACCACCTACCTTCACCATTTTTGACAGCTTGGTTTTTAATTTTACCTCAAATCACTGAACCAAATTATAACCGGCGGTTTTATAGTAACAAATATCTGCTGCGACATACAAAGATGCCTAAAATGTTTACTTAATTAATAATCAGAGATATATAATTATTTTTAGTGCATCAGCCTCTATTGCTCATTTAAACAATGACCAAGAAGTCTAGACTTGTTGTAATTAAATATAAATATGCAAGCAATATTCAAACACATTCTTGTGGCACATCTTATTTGTTATTTATTGCCATTGAAGACCATTATTGGTGTATATATATATATATGTTCCCCTAAACTTGTACATGTATGACGTATTTGATGTGGTCATAGAGTAACCCCTTGTAATATAATTTTATTATTATTGTTTCCTTAGGATTGATTAATCAAGGAAATTACTTCTCTCTCCAACTGGTTGATGATGAACCAACTTAGAGGTACTATCGGGTTTTAGTAAAATCATCTTGAGCTCACTTCAATGAGTAGAACTGTTTAGTTGGTTAAGTTTAATGAGTAAAACATTCATGTATATGTTATTCAAATATCAACAGTCACATAATTATATTATATTTGTCATACACAAATGGACGACAATTATGATTTTAAGAATAAACTGTCGATTTTATAGGATACATGTGAACTGATTACTAATGTTCCATTAACATGATTTTTTGTTTAAAAAATCTATTCAACAAGCCTTATTACAAATGAACGGAATAAATTATCAAGTAGGCTCAACGTCCACTAAAGCTCAACAGTATCTCTCTAGTTGGATCAGCAGCCAGAGCGAAACTTAATACTCTTAATCCAACATGTTGAGAAGATTGTAATATTGTAGTGAGAGGAAGGACTGGAATTATTGGATTGGAAGTGACAGCAACTAGTTACTAAAAATACTGAGTGATGAGCACCCTGCTTATGTTGGACGGTGCAATGTGTTGCAAATCAATTCATGTTTTACTTTGGCATATAATATTTTTCTAAATCAATTTGAATCTTAGTTTAATATTGGCAAAAAAATATTTGCTAATACCAAAATAGTGAAGTAATTTATCTTTTTAACAATTCAAATGCACCTCACAAAATATAAAAATAAATAAATAAATGAAAACAATGACAGCGTCGACGCGCTATACTGTAAAGTAATCGCATAAGCATATGTGTATGTATGGGATGGAACTAGGAGAAGACTATGGGGGGCCATGACCTCCCTGTTTCTGTGAAAAATCATGTTTGTCATAATAGTTTAAAAATATTTTATCATTTTATACATAAAATGGCTCCCTAGTATAAGAAAATGTATATCTTATTATTCTCCCATATTGCCTTCTTTTTCTATTTTACACTAAAGAAACTTCTTCATCCTATTAGAAATTACTTCTATGGTACTTAATTTTTTTTTTCTCTGTATATATAATTTATATATCATATTGTACATACATGTGTGTTTGTGTATTTGGTGATTTTTTTTTTTCCGGCCCCTCCAATAATAAAATCATGGTTTCGTCCTGATGTATGTATTATATAATAACAGATTATTAATAGCATAAGCATTGAGGGCGTATGTAATTCATGTCTTGCTGTCCTGTTTTGATTATTGGTGTTGATGATGATGCTTTTTAGGCCACGCCAATATTGTTCATGGGGACCAAGGCAAATATATTATTTAACAATAAGTTAAAATAAGCATGGGCTTGTTGATGCCATGTTTTGCTTCAGGGTCAACGACAGAAATTTATGAGTGCACCTCCCTCCCTCTCTCTGGTGACGAACCTCAAAAACTAAATAATGAAAATATTATATGCAATTCTATTAGCTTACCTATTTGTCATTGGTTAAACTTTCGTCACATTTTGCATCCAAAACCAGATTATCCTTAAATCAATACTAGTTATTCATAAAAATCTCATTGAGGTTTTTTTTTTTTCTTTTGGTGGACGATGACGTGGTCCAGATGAGTTTATAGGTTAGGTGCTAACTTCGAGGTAACTCGACTAATTTCGAAATCCAAGCAAAACATGCCCCCTCTAAGTGGATCAAGTAAATCTCGGACAAAGTCTGCGGATATGGCCTCAAAAAATTAATAACACCTAGTGAGAGTTGAATCTAAACCCTGGAGGGAGTACACACCAAACTCCAAGTTACATCCATTAAACCAAACCCTTAGAGCTCATCTCATGGAGGTTTTGTCATCTATGTTTTGCAACCTCAATGTCTACCTATTACTATTTTAATTTTAAATTTTTTATTTTCTTTAGGTAAGGAGGGTGTGGACTTTTTATCTCAACTAGTCTCTCCCGTACTGTACATACAATTTTTCCCACGTCAAGCATGTATTTATCAATCACACCGGTAGAAATTCGAATTCATGACATACACTTTATGACAAGTTTATTTTATTTTATTTTCTTTATGAAGAAGAAAATCTTCATTGCAAAATCGATTAAAAAAATAAAATCAATCTCATATAGCAGTAGCAAAAGATTTCATAAAAAGATAACAAATTTCTAGAGGAGGAAGAATTCAAACCTCCATTGAGGAGGAGAAAAAACCCTCACAAAGGAGGGATACAACTTCTATATAGGGAAGATTATTATAACAAATAATAAAAAAATAAAAAAACAAACTGAAAGCAACCAAATCCAAGTCACCAAACGCTTCCAAAGCTCCATTACACCGCAACCATCAACTTGAAATTTGAAGACTCCACCTTCACTGGTCGAAATGGAACATTGAGGTTGAGATGGTCGCCTAGCGTGAAATAAACGTGTTAAACAATATCGGTCTTCGGATTGTGAGAATATTTGAAATCAGATCTTAAAATTTTGGGCACAAGAATGAAAGTTTGGACCCAAGCCAAACATTAGATTCGCAAGATCGAAAAGAATGAGAGGCAACACCAACACTGGTGGCTAGAGGCAAATCTGAAGGAGATGGGGCAAACCTAGTGAGGGTGGATCCATGGAGGCAGGAAGGTGGCAGATCTGGTAGCTGTGTGGTGGTGGCGGCATCAAAAAGGATTGGAAGGACAAGTTTCCAATATTATTAAGCAAAAAGACAAAGAAAAAGAGAAAAAATGGGATGAAATGAGGAGAGAGGCGATCGAAACCCCTCCCCACCCTCGGCGGCACAGGCAATAGAAGGCTTGCAGAGGGAGGCTTAGAGAGAGATGCCCTTATTATTGTTCAACTTGCTAACTAAACTCTAGGAGTTTATCTTATTTTTATTTTGGGTAATTCACACTAACTTTTCCTAAAATTTAGAAATATATATATATATATATATATGAACTCTCATAAATTTGGTATAATTATACTGAACTCCTTTAATATTTTAATTTCTATAACACTTAAAATTATTTTCATTAATAATTTGTTATGTCATCTTTTTCATATTAAAATTATAGTTTATACTTGTTTATTCACAACTAGCATTAGTTTTTATGAGGGGTGATTTTACAATGCTCCTTCACTCCAAATAAGCCCTTGAAAGATCCTCGCTTCAACACCTGAAACTGAAAAATACTCCAGTCGGGGGGTGCTCAAATTAGTACTCCTACGAGCAAATTAGTCTTTAGAAGAGAGGAAGAATTGTTTATCTTTTTCAAACTGTAATCAAAGCATACCTTCTTACTCACTATTACCTTCCTTGTATAGAGATACTTTGCTGGATATTTTCTCATGTAGCTTTTGATCATTGCAATGTCAGAGCCCATCCTTTTATTACACTTTTGGAAAGGGACATCTTGGGCCTACTTAAAAGTGGATTATCATGTTGACTTCCCTTATCTACGCAGTCCCAACGCATCAGATCCGCATCTTGTACTCGGCATATACTTTAGCCTATTCTAGTTTACTTGACAATGAATTGCTTGAGCCCAATGGACCTTGGCTAAATTTGGTGCATCAAAGATAGGCTTAGATGTGCCTAGTTTGCTAATTAGGAAGTCCACTTACTCGACTCCCACAATTGCCCTCCCTCCCCCGAGCACCTAGCTAACTAAAACTCCAAGTACCCTGTGTCCTCGGCTCTTCCTGGGCTAGACACTCGGCTGATTTGACCGAAACATGGCTCATACTTGATGTGTCTTGAAATTTGGGCGCATGATGGACACACCATTCTACTTCTGACACGACGAATGAGACTTGACATAGAATATGTAAAGTTTCCCGCCTCTTCAAATTTGCTTCACTCCTAATTAATTGCCATTTCAAAAACTGTCTCTTCACTGCTTTTTTACTTCCGAAAAGTTTTCACTCCACACTGTCTCATATCGATTGTCATTACTTGTAATCGCTTCGCCATTCTTTCAAGCATTCCTCAAATTCGATTATAAGTCCTCTTCACCCTGCTGTTATTTCATTTATGTCATTTTTCGTTCTATTTCATCCCTTCTTCCCTACAGATTCACTCCCTCAAGCCATCTTAAGGCACTTCTTTCTAAGACTAGGGTAACTACCTTTCGATGCCACTTCAAAATCTCTGACGACATTCAATAGGAAATCATTGGGGACGTAGAAGTAAACCTGGGGAGGGTAGATGCAAATACCATTATTCTTCCATTGCTGGCGATTGGTCAGGGTAGAGATCGTTTCCCTCTCAATCCTTTGCTCAAGTACCTCCTCCGCTTTTAGGGGTTGATTCCCTCCCGTCGAATGTTAACTTTTTTCAGATCATTATGGGAATCGTAGAACTCAACTGCCGACTTAGTGTTAGCTTAGGAATCCTTGCCATTCGGCATTGCTACACTCTCACCAAATCCTTTGGTCGGCAAGGTCGGTTCTTCTTGAGGGCCAAAGACGTTGACCACCAATTGGTGACCATGCTCGCCAGCTCAGGAAAAAATATGGACGACGTTATGGTTTTCGTCCGAGGTAACTAGGAAGAGGACTGCTTAGACTGCATTCCTAAGCAAAGGAGGAACCAGGCGGCCAAGTAGTTTTTAGTTAGTTTTAATCCTAATCGGCCTTTGTAGAATCGACTTTCTTTGCGCCCCCCCTTTCGGAGAGGCTCGAATTGGTCTCCTACAGTTCAGA